TTCCTGCTGCTCCTCGTTGCTGGCACTGGGAGTTCGACTCCGAATCTGACTGCGCAGTTGCTCTATGAGTTCGGGGTTCTGCTGCTGCATTTGCTGGGCAAACTGTTGGCCTCTGTGGCAGAGAGAGAGTGAAACATAGGCAGAAGTATGTCAGGCAGACACAGGAATGCAACTGGCAGACAGCAGCCACCCTTCTTGGAGGACAACGAAGAAGACGGGTGGCTCCCGAGGTTCCGGACAGCATTCAATGTTGTTCACGACTCTATTGTATAATAAAATGGTTATAGAAGGCAAAAACAAGCGTAGTTAACAGACTCACCGGTTACAGCTTGCCAAAAAGCTGAAGAACATGTAATAGAGAATAATGTATACAAAGCAGCTACAGTGAAAAAGTACAAAATGTAAACAATAGAGCACTGGTATGTGCTACAATGTATAAACAATGGAGAACTACTAAATAATTCAAATAAATCGACGTGGTGTCCGGATGCTTGATAACAACGTTTCAAAGTTCATCCTTCATCAGGGTGTTCCCTTTAAGCTTCTGCAGTTTTCACACTTTTACTGACATGCATTGGGGACAGTAACAATTCAATACAAAATTGGACACCAGTCTCCAACATGTAATCAGCTTCAATAGCTTCAGACTTATTTGAATTATATTTAGATATTTAGTAGTTCTCCGTTGTTTATACACTGTAGCACATACCAGTTCTCTATTGTTTACATTTTGTACTTTTTCACCGTAGCTACTTTGTATACGTTATTCTTGAATACATGCTCTTCAGCTTTTTGGCAAGTTGTGACTGGTGAGTCTGTTAACGACACTTGTTTTTGCCTTCTATTACCATTTTATTATCCCAAGGTTCTGGAGCACAAGGGGAAGGATGGGGACCCCCCTCCCGGGCACATTCATTTGACTCACGCTTGAATAAGGCTGGCAAGGTCGTTGGGGGAAGGAGCGGCTCCCTGCGCCGCCATGGGATTGTTACCGCCTGAAATCATCCCGGACATCCTGCAAAGAAAGGAGAGATTATTATGTAGTGTTGTTTTTTTTTAAGTTGGAGCTTTCCAAAAGGGCTGGGAAAAACCATCTGAATTTTGCAAGTAATCCGGCACCCTCCTTGTCCTGTCCCCCCTCTCCAATCAACACGCCTAGGTCGTTGTTGAGAAAGAGCCATTCTGGAACCCCCTCTACTTAAAATTCATTATCATCCCTTTGTCACCAGGGGAAGCCTGTACTGGTCATCTGCCCCTGTAACACCTAATCTTAGCACACGTCCCAGTAGCAATCCTGCATCTTAGCTTCTGGTTCTGTTTTATTGGTCTCACGAGTTTTAACTGGAAGGCAGTCAACAAGTTATTTTACAGAGGGAATAAACACCATCAAAACAAAACAGGGCACCCACACTAAACTGGGAGCACACACCTCGAGTAAGGAGAAAAGTTCTCCATACTTACAGCTGCTGTACTTGTGGATTGTTCATCAAGTTAGATGCCTGTTTAAGGAAGAGAGAAGAAAAAAGGCTTTTAAAAAGTTGGGGCTTACTTGATGCAAAAATTAAAACCACCCCAAGAAGCTCCATCTTTACCCAGACATGAAGAATTCAGTCTTGGAAGACATTCAGGCCAACCCAGGCTGCTGCAGGCTTAAACACACGGAACTGACTGCCTTGCTGTGTTTGGCATGGCCTGCTAGTGATTCCCAGCCCCCTTTTAAAGAATGGGGCGGCTGAAGGTCACGCCAGCCAGAGCAGAGAGGCAGCAAAGTCCTGAGACTGAGAGTTCAGAATGGAAGAAAGAAGCCCATGGTTTAGTGAAGAAGCCCATGCATATCTTTGGAAGTTGCAGCCCACTCCAGGGCGGACATGGTTGGCACAGTTCTTCTCCTTGAAAGTACATCAGTTCATGATGAGGGCTGACTTTTAGTAGCCCAATCCCCTGATCTACCAAGGCAAAAAAGCACCCTCTGTGTAAGTTTCCTGGAGGGGCTGCAAAGCATTTTTTGGGGGGGGTATTGCTCAAAGGATACATTGGAAGGAGTTTTAAACCAAGCTGTTCAGTATTGCATATAACAATCGGTTTGATTGTCGACTCGAGTCTTGTTGTGCAGACTGGTTTCTTGGGTCGCACGTGACAAACTGGGGAGGGGTCATGGCTCAGAGGCAGAGCATCCGCCTAGTATGCAGGAGGTCCCAAGTTCAATCCCTGGCATCTCCAGTCAAACAAGTATTAGGTAGCAAGTGATGCCAAAGACCTCAGCCCGAGATCCTGGAGAGATGTTGCCAGTCTGAGTAGACGATACTGACTTTAATGGGCCAAGGGTCATATTCAATGTAAGGACCTGCCAGGATATTTTGAAGAAGGTGGGCTGTGAATTCTCTCAGATGCACAGAGTGGAGAGAACCACCTGCCAGAGGCCTTTACTAGCACTACGCTGAACAGACACTCCGGCATCTGTGCCATGGCTGCTGCAACGGTCCTGGCTGGCATAAGGCAAGGCCAAATACATCCTAGATGTGGGCACAGACAAGGGCAATAAAGTAGGGTTAGGGTGCTTGCTGGGAAGGCCAAGCAGGAACAAGGTCCTCTGGCAACTGCAGAGGAAGGGCATTGGGCTGGCCCAGATGAATCCCCAAAGCCAAGGCACATTCCTGAAGCACGCTGGGCAGCTCTAGCCAGATCAGAGCAATTAGTATGTCGCCAGTCATGTGTAGCTAGAAAAGCGATGGCACCATGGAAGCAGGGGTGGACTGAGTGGGGCCCTGGGGAAACATTCGGGATGAGGCATCAGAATCAATGCCACCCAACCCCTGCCAGGGCTACCCAAAGCACAAACTAGGGGTAGCCCTCACCCCATTCAAGGTGGGTGGAAGCAATGGCTGTTGAGCCAGTCAGCTGCTGCCCCAGCCCTGAAGTGCGTGGGTGCATATGATGACTGCCGAGCCAGCTACCTGAAATCTGGAGGGGGTGGCCGAAGATGGTCAGCCCCCCCCCCAACCCTGGCCAGGGCCTGGGCAGCTGCCCTAGATACCTTGCGACAAAGATTGCCACGGCATGGTTTGGTGGTTAAGAGCCCAGACTCTGATCTGGGAGGACCGGGTTTGAGTCCCCACTCCTCCATGCGCAGCTGCTGGTGAGACCTTGGGTCAGTCACAAGTTCTTTCAGTTCTGTTCTCTCAAGGGCAGTTTTCGAGCGAGCTCTCTCAGCCCCACCTACCTCACAGGGTGCCTGTTGTGGGGAGGGGAAGGGAAAGGGGTTGTAAGCTGCTCTGAGACTCCTTTGGGTAGTGAAGGGCGGGGTATAAATCCAATCTCTCTATTGATTCCAGCTGCCAATGAGGAAAGCTAGATGCAGCCAAGATCCAGCTGAGAGCTCCCTCCCCTGCAGCTTCCCAGAGCCATCACTGGGGCCATCAAGGGAAGAAGCCAGACACCTCTCTGTCGTGCCTGGATCTGCTGCCAGCAGAAAAAACTCCCCAGGATCGTTTGCATTCTGTTTTAATTGTCATTCTATTGGTTTATGATCACTGAGAGCCACTCTGGAAACCGGTGTTGGCAGAAAAAGCAGGATCAAATCTACTGTATGTTTAAAAGCACTAAAATTTCCTCTGTATAAGCACCCATTCCTCAAATAAAATCTATGCAAAAGGAAAACAAAAGTGAAGATGGTTGCCCAAGAGGGACAGGCATCTCTAGGGAGCCTACCGAAAAGGCCTCAAGGAAATCAATATATCGCTCTTACAGTTCTCATCAGCAAGGACTTTGGGCTTCCACAAAGAATGCCTGGAGTCAGACCAGTAGCCATTTGCACCTTTCTGCCTTACAAAATGCTAATGTACAGGATCTCTTTCAACTGATGCCTCCCCCCTATCGTTAGAAGTTGTGCTCCTGCGTTGATTTGCAGCTGGCTTTTCCTGCATAGGCAAGAAAATCCAGTTGTGAATCATCACAATGACGGTAGAGATGGAGCTTTTTGGACTGGAGCGCCACCAGACTGCTCTACTAGCAGCAGGGCTTTCCTTCGGGGCAAAGGACCTCTCTCTGATGCAGGGGGCTCTAACTGCATCAGAGGCAGGCTCCTTGCACAATGGAGGAAAGCAGCATCAGTAGAGGGACAGATCGGTAAGATCCAGGCCATGCAATTGAAAGGAGGCTGCCGTTTACCATGCTCATGAAGCCCGGGTTGTTGAGCAAGCCGGCTAGATCGAAGCCTCCGGTGCCGCCCGTCTGGAAGGAAAACAAAACAGGGGGGAAATCCACAAGTCTTCACATACTATGGCCTGAAAGATGTGTGTTATCCCCCGCCCCATTTAGAGAATCTGTGCCTCCAGCCTAATGAAGAGTCCTGGAGAACTCCAAAGCTTTCACAATGCCTGGTCTTTAAAAAAGGGAATAACGTGGACTCCAGTTTTGGGTTCTGCTATGGACCAACACAGTTGACAACTCGGTCTCATTTGGAATAAAGATTCCCTAGTACTTTATCACATACCTTGCCTCCTGCCTCCCCACCCCCACCCCATTCACCCACCCACATTCTACTCTGGGGCATCCTGAGAACCATACAAATCAATTTTGCTCACACATACCTGGCAAACAGGTCCTGTTAGCATCCAGGGCCTAGGAGAGGCTGCCCAGCTGGAGGGCAGATCACCTGGAGGCCAGGGAGGGGCGTAACTATTTCACTTTGCATTAAATGGTGCTCTGCTCTGAAAGATTTGTGTTCCGTCTCTGGCGCACTTCATTCCCGACTGCGGGAGTGAACCCAGACGTACAAGCCCAGGAGACTGGGGAGGAGCCAGACTCTCTCTGCTACCTTCAACTGTTGCCTTGGTCCGGAATCCCTTAGCAGTTAACCAAATGCTTCCAGGAAGCTCCAACACAGTGCATGAAAGTAATAGTAATATTTACCTTCTAGTAACCAGCATTCAGAGGTACACTGCCACTGAATATGGAGGTTCCATTTATCTCTCAGGGCTAAGAACTCTCAACAGACTTCTCCCTCCTCCATTAATATATTTCACCCTTTTGGAAAAAATGCAAGACCCTTCATGGGCCCACCCCGTCCAGCATCCCGGTTATGATGTCTCACAGACATAGAAGATTCAGTCAGTGGATATGCCCAAGAGCTCCTGGCCGGTATGACATAATTATTAGGATTTTGGACTAGGATCCGGCAGACCCGGGTTCGAATCCCCACTCTGCCATGGAAGCTCACTGGGTGACCTTGGGCCAGACACACCCTCTTAGCTTAACCTACTTCACAGGGTTGTTGTCAGGATAAAAAGGAGGAGGGAGACCCGTGTACACCACCTTGAGCTCCTTGGAGAAAAGGTGAGATTAAAGTGTAATAGACAGAGACTAGGGGTGCACAAAAAAACCAAATGGTATTTTTCATGTTTGAGTACATTGAACCCCAAAAATATTGGTATTTCCCGATATTCCCGAATCCCAATATGAGTACGGTATTGGGATTTGGGAAACATTCAGGAAACCCGATATTTTTTGTCTCCATTATACCCTGTGGGGACCAGTGGTTCCCACAGGGTATAATGGAGAATCAATCCAGGGGTATTTGGGGCACTGGGGGGGGCTGTTTTTTGAGCAACAAATTTGCAGGATAGCTGCTGGTGCCTCTCCTCAAAAAACCCTCCAAGTTGAGCTTCTGGTTTTGGCGCTCTAATGGCGGACGTGCCGCTCGGGATCTCCCGAGGGCGCGATCCGTGAACCGGCAGATGGAGAGGGGGTGCGATCGTACGCACTCCCCTGGAACCCTTGCAAAGGGTTCCTAGCCATGGGGCACCAAGAATTGCCTCTCCCCCGGCACGCTGCCGGCTGATTGAGGCGTTCCGATGCCCTGACAAGTCTCGCCGCTGTGTTCCAACTGGACTCAAAGACGCACACCGGGACAAGCATGTGGAGGTCGAGTGTTTTAGACGATAAACGGCATGATCTATATGATCTACATTAAAAGTGAGTTTGGTTGAAGCAAAACCCAGAGAATTGGCCGAAAGTCCCTCTTAAAGCAAGCGGGGGGGGGGGACCCCCATCAAAATAAAAACAGACTTAAAACAGAAGGGGGGCGGAACTATAAGCGAAAAGAGACTATATTAAGGAACTTACAAGAGACTTTTAGGCGATTGGCAGACTTGAGAGACTTTTGGCAACTTTACTTTGAATGTAAACATCCTCAAAGGTGTCGCTGAAAAAGACGGAGAAAGATAAGCATCCGAAACCTAAGCCTTCTTCAGGAAGTGCCAGCCCAGCGAGTGCAATCACACGACCGGATGTAATCACAGACTTCTCCAAGATGCTAACAGATGCTTTGCGACCCCTGCTGGAGCAATGAAGACGTGCAACGAGACTTTTGCTGCACAGCAACAGCAACTAAGTGAGAACATTAAAAAAATAGAGCAAACATCTGAGAATCTTAAAGAAATGGATGCCAACACTAAAAAGCTTAAAAAACAAATGCAGGAGATGGAAAAGAAGAGAAACTCAGATGAAGCCCAGCTTCTACAGCTGCAAATGGAAAAAGCAAGCTTTATTCTGAGATTTCAAGGAGTTCCTGAGATTAAAGCGGAGAATCTAAAGCAGATAATGATTGATGCCTTGGGACCGGTTGCAGATTTAAAAGCGGATGTTCTTCAAAGCGAAATGGATGTGATCTATAGATCATATTCAGAATTTATCAAGAAAAATAATCTGCCCGGCGAGGTGGTGGTTAGATTCTCCAGAAGACAAGTGAGATATCAGATTTTAAAGGCAACAAATGGAACCACCCTTAACATTGATGGCAAGGAGTTTTGAAAGACATTCCCTTTGAAATAAGAAAGAAGAGGGAAAAAAATACAGAGACTTGGCTTTGTTTTTACAAAAGAATAACATCCCTTACAAATGGATTATACCTGAAGGTATACTGTTTAAATTTAACGACAAGAGGGGGAAAATTGACTCCAACTTGGACCACCAGAGGAAGACAATGAGGAGAGTCACAAGGGAAGTGACGATGAAACACCTACTGGAGAGGACTCAGATTCGGAACATGGGGCGGCGGCCCCTAAGCAAGGATATCATTTGAGGGAAAGAAAAGACAAAAAATGAGATGCTAATTTTTTTCTGAAGTCTGTTTCTTACAGTTAATAATATATGAGAGTTCTTTTGTATTGTTCTTTAAGATGTCAGAAGTCCTGGACTTAAAACATATGAGCGGATTTAATTATCACATTTAATGTAACCAATCTTTTTAATTTTACTATAAGCTTGGTATTGTAACCATTATATGACCACCACCTCTTGGGTTTTTAGTGTTTTTTCTTTACTTTATCCTGTAGTTTATAGTTCCCCTTCCCAATTTTCTTGTAGTGTTTTAGAAAATATTTTTTTTTTAAAAACCCTCCAAGTTTAAAAAGTTTGGACAAGGGGGTTCAATTCTATGGGCCCACAAAGAAGGTGTCCCCATCCTCCATTGCTTTCAATGGAAGGGGAAAGGCATTTAAAGAGACTGTGGTGTCTTTAAACGTCTTCTCCAAGCCACGCCCGAAAGAAAGCCAAATAATTTTGACTTTTATTCAGGCTCAGCTATATCAGTAGCCAAAAAGAAACTCTAATTTCTTTTCAGCTTAAAAACTCCCAAAAAATACTAGTAAGGTATTGGGAGGGAGGGGGGTTGTTCAGGTAAACTGAATGCACACCCCTAATAGAGACATTACAAAAAGCAGTATCTAACACATCCAAGTCCTGTTTGTTTTCTGCTTCCTTCATTTGAGGCAGAAATGGCCATAAGTGGATTGAAGTCTCTCTTTCCAGAAAATAATAAACCCATTAAAATTATGCCCCTGCCCAGGAAAAAGACAGCCAGTGTGGTGTAGAGTGTCAGTGTGGTGTAGAGTGTCTGTGAGACCCAGGTTCAGATCACCACTCTCCCAAGGAAGCTCGCTGGGTGACCTTGAGCCAGTCACACACAGTCAGCCTCACCTACTTCTCAGGGTTGTTGTGAGGATAAAAAGGAGGAGAGGAGAATGATGTAGGCCACTCTGGGTCCTCTCTGGGGAGAAAGGTGGAGGTATCAATGAAGTAAACAAACAGATGCTCGCCCCAGGAACAGAGGCCAACAGATGCACCCACAAAACCCACCGGACTCGGAGCCTCTTTCATTTTCTGCTCAGTTACTTTCAGGTTCGACTTGTATGTTTCATTGTCGGGGTCCAGTTCCAAGGCTTTTCTGTAGTAGATGACGGCATCTGAGAGTTTGTTTAGACTGGACAGCGCTAAGCTATAGAACCGGGGAAAGAATAAGAGATCCCAGTTAGCTGTTGGCTGGTTTGTGCAGATTGTCATTTGCAGAGATCAATCCCTTCCTCTGGTTTAAGCAACAGCTAAAACACACACATAAAATTGTAGGCTTCTGTTTTGGACAGCGCTTGGAAAGGAAAAAGTGGACGAATGACACACATGAACATCTGGAGTTAACTGATAACAAGTCCAACCACCAAGTCACCTAGCCAGTTTGGTGTAGTGGTTAAGTGTGCGGACTCTAATCTGGGAGAACCGGGTTTGATTCACCGCTCCTCCACTTGCATCTGGCTGGATGACCTTGGACAAGCCATTTTTCTGATAGGAGCTGTTCTTGAAAAAGAGCAGTTTCTGTCAAGAGCTCTCTCAGCCCCACCTTCCTCACAGGGTGTCTGTTGTGGGGAGGGGAAGGGAAAGGAGTTTGTAAGCCACTCTGAGACACCTTCGGGTAGTGAAGGGCGGGATAGAAATCCAATCTGTGCCTGTCCTCCCCAACTCCTTCTATACATGCTGGG